TCATTGACATTTCCTCAGTCTAGTTAATGTTAATCCCTCCCAGTCTTGACTTCCTTCCCTCCATCCACATTCCCACTCACTGCTGATAGTCTCATTCAAACAATCCCCACCGCTATGATAATACTGACATAAACTGAGGCAAAATCAATGAAAGCATAATGGATTTAATAAATGTTTATTATTATTACTAATATTATTAATCAATTCAAGTGACTGAACAAAAAATGAAAAAAGTGGTGAAGTCCATTAGGGCGTCTCTGTATTCTCCACCTGCAAATTAAACAAATCGGTTATTTTTCCACATTTATCAGTTCATGTAAAGCATTGTTACACTCTGTTCGAGCCATTCTGGGCAGCTAAACACAAAGCTTTCTTAAAGGTACGTTGCAGTCTTTGATTTATAAGTCAAATGTGCAGGAGGTGCCTGTGGCTCTTTTTCATGGCTGAATTCCTCACATGTGATTGGAGGCACTGCACTGCAGATATTTAAATAATGTTGATAAGTACTGAGGGCCTTCTTAGCTTCAAGGTGTTTCTTTGGCATGTATAGTGGCCTTAAAGTTGAGTATGAAATATGACGATTGTAGAACAGTACGGAGCCACTTAGGGGGAATGTTTAAAATAAATAAATTAAAAACAGTGCTGACATTTTGTTCCCCTTCAAATGTTTTGCATTCTCTCGTAAAAAATTCCGAGCCTGGTCTCTCTCTACGCTTGGATTTCATGTGCGCACCGCGGACTACAGCAGAACTGTACTGCAATGACCTGGAAGTGTCTTCCTCCTTCTTTCAGTACGCGACTCTCTTTCAACACAGATTTTGAAGATTATTAGTCTTAAGTGTAATTAAACACTGCTTCAAACACAGCTACAATCCGCCTGTTGACAGTGTTCAGAGTTTGGTTTTCATGTTTTGTCCACAGTGAAATTCATGAAATATCACTGTTTCATGAGGTGAATGGCAGCATTTAATATGCCATAAAAATTAAACAGCCAACTTAAACACAACTCCAACAAAGGAAGAAAATGACCCTGTTATCAAAAACCTCCACTGCAGTGTTTAAACACACTTTCTGACCCACACGGGTTATGAGCTACATTTTATTTTGCTATTTAAATTCTGAACAAGACGTCTGCATTGCTTGGGAAAGTTAAATACATATATGCCCATGTTAAAAATTCTATAAATGAAAGGAATCAAACTGTTAGCAGAAGACTACCCTGGTACAAAGTCGGGTACAAAGAGACTGAGATTCATGTAATCTCACAGTCTGAATGTGGTACTGCAGTGGAGTTCCCTGTTAAAAGCTTGATTTGAATATTTTATGAAAACCTAAATACACTATGTAATAAAACCTGATTTATTTTGCCATTTGGGAAAATGTTATTCGAAACTGAAACAGTAAAATTACACAAACTTATTCCATGTGTATCTGGGGAGGTGTTTTTCAACACTGCAGTGGAGTCCATGATAACATCTTGACCTCAATGTTTTATAGAATTTTAAAAGCTGCCTTATTTTTAATGAAACTGGATTTTTTCAGAATTTTAAGCAAAGATTATTCAAAATGACCTAAATTCTTTGTAAAACCCAGGGGTTCAATGTAACTGCAGTCTGTAGTAGGGCTTCATCGATACCAATTACTTGTACTCTTACTCTTTACAGATACCAACATCTGGTACCAGCTGATACCATGTGTGGCAGTGTAAACGGGAAAAAAACAAAAAACATATTGCATCTGACATTAAAATCCAATGTGTATCCGAATTGTGGTAATGCGACTCCGTCTGAACAACCAGATCAGAATTCATGTGATGCAAACATCAATCCGACTCAACTCTGAATGAGCTGTAGTATTCTGTGAGAGTCATAGTATGAGCTGTAATACTGTGAGTCTTGTTTTATCTTTCAGAACTGTTTAAAAGCAGAAACCAGACTGATAAGTTCCACTTTCACTGTCTTTCTAAAATAGTAACCTCTCAGATTTAAACCAGTTATAAACAGAAGAAAGCAGCACGATGAACTGGAGAAAGAGGTTAAGTGAGTGGCTGTTGCAGTTGACTCTGGATGAGCGTCACGTGAAGTGAGGCATTGTTTTTTAGGGCATGAGCCTCAGTTTACGAGTGTGAACTTACCCTTGATCCCCTGTGTGGAGCACATTTTAATAAATATTACATTATTGACTAACACAAACATATTATTACTGGATCTGTTGTTGTTAAAACAGTTTTTAGGGGAAATATTGTTCCTCAGTCGAAATGTCCTCTGCAGATCTGTTTGTCCTATGAAACACATTCTGAGAGACACCCAGTAAGGGACACTGTACATGTGATGAAATATAGAGTCATAATAATCTATGATGCTCTAGCAGGTACTTTAGAACTGAGAAGATCAGAGTTAAATTATGGGCATTAAGAGAAGGTAAAAAGGTAAAAAGCTGTTCTTAGTCTGTTCCTTTGGCCCAAATACAGCTAAAAGCTCTAATGTTTAAGAATAATTCA